CTATTCTAACTTGCACGAGCATGAGTCATAAAGTTAGGGTCATGGATGAGACAATAAATCAATTAGGACTCTAATTTATAATTCATCATGTACTACTACTCTTAGTAAAATTAGCTATGACTCTTATACTCCAAAGTGTGAAGGGACACACGCACTACTCTTTGTAAAAATGACTAGAACGCTTATGCCCTAGAGAGTGGAGGGACACACGAATGTGGAGAGAGAGTTGAAAGGTCCTAAATGGCTAGAAGAGAGTGAATAGACTAATAAAAATTTGTACAAAAACACTAGAACAACCGGTTAGACAACTAAATGGCGAAAATCAATTTTGCACTAGCTCTACAAGACTGTTGCAAGCCACCTACCCACAAAGCTAGTGAGCTATGATCTCTAAGACAAGCAAGAGGCTAAGTCACTACTCTACTACTAGTGAGCTAGCAAGGGAGAAGGTTACAACTAATTACAACTAGCTACTCAACTAATTGCTATTCTATTCAGTACAACTACCACAACACATGTATATTAAGAATGTAATACAAGAGTGATAGAGTGTGATACCGAGCTGGCAAAAGATAAATCAATCACAATAAGAATGCCAAGTGGACACAAAGATTTATCCCGAGGTTCACTTGCTTGCCGGCAAGCTAGTCCCCGTTGTGACGGTCGATTCACTTGGTGGCTCATACGCTAATAGGCATCACACGCCTAGCCCACACTTGGGCACCGTAAGAACTAACACAAATGAGGGCACTCAACGCCATGAGCAATTCACTAGAGTGGCTTTTGGCGCTCCGCTGGGGAATAAGCCCAAGAACCCCTCACAAGAATGCCGGAGATGGCCACGAACAATCACTAACTCGTGCTAAGGCTCCACCGCTGCTCCAAGCCATCTAGGTGGCAGCAACCACCAAGAGTAACAAGAAAACCACAGCAAGAACGATCCCCAAGTGCCACTATAGATGCATACTCAAACAAATGCACTTGGAATCACTCAATCTCACTTTGAATGCACAATCAAGCATGGAGATGAGTGGGAGAGGGTTGGCTCAGCTCAAAGGATGCTATCACATGTAAAAATGCCTAAGAGCATGAGCCAAGCCCAGCCAAGCTCTATTTATAGATCCTCAAGGGCTCACTAGTCGTTATGTCCTCGAAACGCCATCGGGCCCGTCCTCCGGACCCGGTGTTGGAGGCTTCGGACCATGCCTCCTGGGTGCGGACCCTTCTCGCGTTTAACCTCCACGTGCCACGTGTCTAAGTGACCGTTGGACATGGCTGGACTGAGCTACGGACTCAGGAGCACGGGGGCTCCAAACCAAGAGCCTAGGGTCCGGTTCATGCCAGCAGCGAACCACGAGCCGCCATGTGTCCCAGTCAAATTCAGTCGACCATTGCCTCGCGCAACGTCTACTGACACACGCTCGACTCAAGCTCCGAACTCAAGCTCCGGACGCGCATAGTGCCACCTCCGGACCAAACTCTACTAGGGTCCGGAGACTTCTAGAGAGCTTCCCGAGAGCAAAAATGCCTCCGGTCCGAGTCCAGCGCCGTCGTCCGGACCAAGCAGCAGAGTCCGAACCTCCCAAGCCAACTCTCGCTGCACCACGTGTCACCACTGGACCGAGGCACTAAGGTCCGGACCTCTGCTGAGCAGAGTCCGGAGCCTGTGCCACTATTGCACTTAGCTAGGGTTAAGTACCAAACAAATGCACTATGGTCCGGACCCTTCCCAAGCTGAGTCTGACACCCTGAAACGCCTCCTTTTCAACTCCTTTCTTCCACCTTTGCTTCCATGTGCTAACACCAAAGTGTTTCACCACTTGTGCACGTGGGTTAGCATTTTTCAAAGCATTTTTCAAGGGTCAAGTTAGCACACACTAGGTCCTAGTGCATATACATGAATGACATTACCTAGTGGCACTTGATAACTGCAAGTACCATGATTTTTCCCTCTTCATAGTACGAATATCTATCCTAAACCCGATCACACTCTCTATAGTGTCTTGATCGACAAAACAAAGTGGCCCTATGGTGTATACCTTTGCCTTGTGCCCATTTTGTTTTTCTCTTTCTTCTTTTTCAAGTTGGAGCACTTGATCACCATGACTTGGCCAACTCCTTCACTTGAGTGCCATTTGGCTCCACCACTCGGAGTGTACCAACCTATCTCATATAACACTTAGAGCAAAAGGTTTGTACTTAAGGTTTCATCAATTATCTAAAACCAAACTAGGGCTTTCAAGAGTGCAATGGACCAACATTTATTTAGAGGAAGAAATTTTACCTCTTTAATATTATGTATGTATAGATGACGAGGAGCGATGGACAAAGGGTGTGGATGTCGCTCTTTCGCTCCTTATAGTAGTAGAGATTCATCTCATTAGAACAGTACTTTGGCCGACAATTGCTTTATTATTATATCAAATATGTGATATAAAATCATATTCATAATCTCATAGCTTTCAATATAAATAAGAGCATCTCCACAATAGGGTTCTCGAAGAGGGCTCCACTATATTTTTTGGTCCAAGGCAAAACAACTTAATTCAACAAGTTCCTAACTTGAGTCCCTACTTTATGATCTCCCTTCTCTAACACTACCTCCTCCTAATAATGAAATATGTGCCATGATGGTACGGTCATAAAAAATCATGGCCATGTTCGCTTCTCTTATAATCCGTACTTTTCAGCTTGTTTTTCAGCCGGAACAGTGTTTTCTCTCTCACAACAAATCAGCCGGAATAGTGTCGCGGCTTGTTTTTTCAGCGAAGTGAACGGGGCCCATATCTCCTAAGGGTGCGTAGGGAGCTCCTTAATTCTTTTTCGTATTTTTTTCACACAAACTCTCTCTTGGACGTCTTTTTTCGTCCCGACTCTCTACCACGCCGCCCCCAAACCTAAGATCACTCCTCCCTGTCAAGGCCTCCCTCCTAGCGAGCCCCTCGTCCTGCCTTCTCCCTAGCGAGATGCTCTTCCTCGCCGTAGGCAGGGATGGGAACTAGGGAATATGAGAGGAAGAAAATAAAAATAATAAGAATAATGTGACTGATAAGTATGTTTAAAAAATAACGGTTTTAATTTGGGGGCTACCTCTCAAAAGTAGAGAAACCCTTAAATTATAAGAGCAAGTACAATAAATCATATCAGCTTGACTAATAGCCAAGATATGTGAACAAAATCATATTATGGATGAGAGAGAATACTTGGAGAGAATGAGCTAGTCACGAGAATATGCCTACGTTGCTTGCAGCATCATCTCCGATACAGCGGTGGGGCCCACCATAACCTCCATCTATATCCGGTTGTGAATGTCCATGAACCGATAGGATGTGCCATGTGGGAAACAAAATATGTAGGTCCACAAGAAATAAAAAAAAACTTTAAATCTATAGCTAAGAGACAAGTTGTTGTATGCTTGATCTTTGAGCTTGTTTGGTGATGGTTTGTCTTGGACATAAAACATATTTATTGGTGTACTTAGGCTCTATTCGTTTTTTTATGAGCCGTACTTTTTCAACGAAGAAATAATATTTTTCTATCATAATAAATCAGTCAATATTACTTTTTAGCTTGTCTTTTCAGCCAAGCGAACATGGCCCTCCTCTAGTGGTCTCAAGTTTGTACTATAATATAAAAATAACATATCAATAAGAAAATCTTTGATTGAAAGCTTACCCTCGAATTAAAATATTCCTTGTAATTTTAATCGGAGAGAGTGTATATATCCATTTTTCAACAGAGAAAAAAGCACCAGCCATCTCCGCTCTTTAACGCCAGCCGGCTCTTCCTTCATTTCGCCTTTTCCTCCCCGTCGGCTCCTCTCCCCTCTCACCTCGCGCTCGCCGCGGCTGACCCAAGTACCCAAATCCAAGCCAAGCGATCGTCGCCTGAAACCAAGCAAGCCGGAGCGCAGGACACGCAGCCGCTCTCCCCCGCTCCGGCTCCGCTGCAGGTGAGAATGCGCCGGAGCAAACCCTTCTCCCTCCTCCCCCAATTCCGTTGCCCCCTTAGCAAAGCCCTCGAATGCTAGCTTTGTTTTGGGGTTTTCTCCCCTCCTTTTGTTTATCCTCAAAAAAAAAAAAAAGAGAGGAAATGTGGCCTCTCCACCGGCGGCGTGTCCTGCGGTGCGGCGTGGAGTCGGCTGCAAAAGAAGAGGAAGAAAAAACACATTTTGGGTTTTCTTGGAGCTTGTTATCAAAATTTCATTTTTTTTCTTTTTCCTCTGTACCTCCGTTCTCGTTCATACTTCGATTCTTGGGTCCAGTCTCCCTTTTCCTGGGATGAATGCTCGTGTGCTCCTCAAAATCGATTTTGGTGTTGGTGGAAGAGGGTTTTACAGGTGACCAACACAATTTTGGGGTTTTCTTGGACCTTGTTATTAAAAAAATAAATCAACGCGCAACCTTTGCTGAGTTAGCTTCACGTGATTCCAAGGTGCTCTGGTTTTCTTGGTGCTCTTAAGCACGTGATTCCAAGGTGCTCTGGTTTTCTTGGTGCTCTGTTCCTGAGGTCACCGCTTTTGTAGGATATAAAACCCCAATCCCCGAGCCCTCGTGCTCTTAACAAGCCCTGAGGCGTGCTGTACCTTAACCTTTATCTTTCCATGTGTACTCGTATAACTTAATTGCACAGGATAAACCTTGTTGGAACCAAGAACAGTGGCACGACTGCCAGACTAGATGCTATATTATCATGTATAAGGTGTTTATCAGATTGTAGTATTATTGTGACACCTGAAGTTTTGAGTTATATACTGGAACACCCTCTAGGGGGTAGAAATGTATGTCATTGAGCTTCTGTTACTAATTCAATCTATGCTCAGCTTATATGATTGAGCTCTACTGACTGATTCAACATTTCTTCAACTGGTCCTGTATAAACTTATATTATGAGTCGTTATAGTATTTCTCTGTTATGTGTGCTTCTTTAACATATTGTACTACTGACAAATGGTAACATCATTTTTCATACTTTGTTTGCCATTTCCCTTACCTTCAGCAATGGACTACACATCGGATGGAGATTCTGAGGTCGAAGCTTATGGATCCGGCACTTTTGAGCTTCTGGAATCAGGATATTTAAAAGTGATGACTGATGAAGGCTTGTACCGATGCCCCTTTTGTTCAGATGATGAGAAGGACCACAGTCTAAATGATCTGCTGCAGCATGCCTCTGGTGTAGGGGCTGCACATGATCGGGAAGCCAAAGAGAAGGCGGACCACCGTGCTATTGCAAGGCATTTGAAGGGTAAGCCTCTTGAATCATCTGGCGCACTTTTGCAGCCAATGCTTACCGATGTGCAGGATTCTGAGCATACCCAAGATGAGCAATTTGTCTGGCCGTGGATGGCTATCCTAGTCAATATGCCAAATGAATTCTTTGGTAAAAGTGCGAATCGGCTGAAGGAGCATTACTCATCTTTCCATCCAGTGAAGGTGCATCCTGTATATAGCAAAGGTCGTCCCACTCGTGATGCTGTTATTGAGTTCGGGAATGACTGGAGTGGTTTTAGGAATGCACGGGCCTTTGATGCTCACTTTGCGAAGAAAGGGTACAGCAAAGATTGCTGGAAGGAGATGAAGTGTGAAGGTACAGAGCCTGTTGGGTGGATGGCAAGGGCTGATGATTACAATTCTCTAGGGGCAATAGGTGAACTACTGAGAAAAAATAGTGACCTGAAGACATTAAAAGATATTGGGAGTGAAGGGGCAAACAAAACTGAAAAACTTCTGTCCAATTTGGCCTGCAAAGTTAAAGAAAAGGAAATTTATTTAGAGCAACTTGAGTCTGAGTACAACAAGCGATCTGCTTCACTTAACATAATGATGCAGAAGAGGGAGCAACGACTCCAGTCATACAATCAAGGTACATGGCAATATTCTGGTTATTTATGCATGATACATTTAGGAGTGACTAAATACATGCAGTGGTTACTATCCATTTTCAATCATGTTGTGCTATCTATGACTATAATAACAGTTTTTTCCCCCACTTTTACTAGAAATCCTGAAGATGAGACAGCTTGGTCAACAAAACACACAAAGAGTTGTTGAGGAGAACCGGAAGCTACGGTCCGATATCCAGGACATGGTGGATGCACTTGATGCAAGAAACAAACAAATTAAGGAGTCGGAACATGACAAAAAGAATCTTGAGCAGGAGAAGCTAAAGGTGGGCAATTGCTTTCATCTGAGGCAAAATGTTTTATCAACAAGAATTATGTAATAGCTTGGAGATTAGTATATACAGTGTAGTTTTCTGCTCCTTACAGGAATTAGAATCCTCTAGTCATGTATGTCCTTTAAGAAGGATAAATAATTTTGAATGCTATTTCTTTGAAAATGAAATCTTTTTGTTACTTGGTGATTTTATGGTATGAAAACACAGATCATTCTACAATTAGTTGCCACTTGCCAGATGGTTGAACAATTCTATTAGGGTGAATTTGCAAGAGGTGTATTTGTATATGACTTTTTTTTTGTTCAAATCTATTGTAAATTTTAAGGAATTGTATCCTAGTCAAAATAGTCTCCTACTGTTGGTGTTATTATATAGAATGAATTAAATAATCAATTTTCTTGTTCTTGCTGGGCAAAATAATAGCATAAGGCTGAATGAAATTAGGCCACTTATATGTACAACTTGTATAACGTACTTTTGACTTCTGCTGTACAGAATGCAATGAGGACCAGTCATCTTAGGTTGGCTGCATTGGAGCAGGAGAAAGCTGATGAAAATGTCCAAAAGCTTGTGGATAAACAAACAGTTAGCCCCTGTTCCCTTGACGTGCTTGCATGTGGTTTTCTTTTGAATGACATTCGTCTTGTTCGCTTTGTACTATGTGGAAACTGCAGAGAGAAACAAAAACTATTCTAGACGACTTTTTGAGGTTGAACACACAGTTGGAGATGAAGCAGAAACTTGAATTGGAAATAAAGCACCTGAGTGGGAAACTGCAAGTGATGGATCTCAAGCCAGGTGATGAAGATCCAGAATCCAGAGTGAAAATAGATAAACTAAAGGAGGAGCTCAATGAGAAGATCGAAGAACTGAAAGATGCGGAAAGCTGGAGCCAAGTTTTAATCAGTAGGGAAAGCAAGATCAGTGATGAGTTGCGAGAAGCTCGAGAAGCGTTGATAAATGTATGATAATTTTTATGTCATACCAGTGTACTGCTCAGTTTCAGTGAGTGTTTTTGTTTACGAGAACTCATGTTTGGTCCAATTGCAGTCTCTGCAGAGTTTGCCTGGAACCACAAGCTGCCGGACACACATAGGCGTCAAAAAAGTTGGTGAGCTTGACCCCAGTGTGTTTCTAAGCCTGTGCAAGCGGAAATTTCCAGCAGCAGACGCGGAAGCTGAAAGTGCTAGTCTTTGTTCAAAGTGGCAGAATGAAATTGAAAATCCAGAATGGCAGCCTTTCAAGGTTATTATTGTTGATGGGAAAGCATCGGTAAGATGGAATCTTTGCCTTTTGTTGAACATGTATCTATATTGGTATGAATTGTTTATAATGGAGCATTGGTGCTGCACGTGCCTGTGTAGGAAGTACTCAAGGAGGATGACAGGAAGCTCCGAGAACTAAAGGAGCTGGGTAAAGAACCCTATGCTGCCGTAACAAAGGCGCTGCTGGAACTGAAGGACGGCAATGGAAGCAGGAAGGATCCATTCCCTGAGCTGTGGAACTATGACGAGGGTCGGAAAGCAAATATGGTGGAAGGAGTTCGGTTTGCTTTGAAGCTTTGTAATGTGAGCAAGACGAAGGGCAAGAGAAGCCGCTGACTTCAACGCCATTGTTTCATGCTGAATGAATGGAGGTCCTAACCAAATAGTTATTCTATTTTGGAGTAAACTGGAAGTGCAGTTAACCTGGTGCATTTTGCTTAGGACTATTACCTTATATGTTGCAACTCTGAACCAAGCGTGTCCCTAACGCTATGTATGACAAATGAAGTCACGCTGCAACCGTGTCGTGCTCCGATTAGATTAATGCACTAGTTAAGTTCAGAAATGTCTGGTGTCAAGTTTATGTGGTTTGAGGTAACTCCAGTTTGCATGCTTATACAGCTTGCATGACAATCGTGCTACACTCCATCCAACTGCAGTCACAAACAATTGTCACCTCTAGGCACTGGCTACAATCCTTAAAGATCCAAAATTTGACCCCAATTTCAAAATTTTAATATATTTGGAGAACAAACTAATTCCAGAACAATTTAATTAATGGAAACGCATTTATCTTCCTAGTAAACTTGTGAGCAGGACTGTCACTTTAAACGGCAAGTGTTCTCTCTCTTTGTTCATAAAAAGAAAAGTGTGCCTGGCTGACCTCTTATAAGGTTTTGACCTCAGAAAATATCTATCCATAATATTGAACTTTTATAAATATGTATTCATAATATTGATTTTTTATAAATATTTATCCATAATATTGAGTTTTTATAAATATTTATCCATAATGTTGAATTTTTACAAGGGTTGCTGATGAGTACAGGCCCGATCTTCCGAGAGGTAGCCGGTAAGTTCGATTTGTGGAGATCTCGACGTTGGCGATCCGGCTTCAAATCAGACGCGATTCGAACTCTACAACCGTTACACCACTGCTCCGTTGGTTATCAACCAAGCATAACTTGATTGACCTCGCCAAGAAGGCTTTTCCTGCAAGCGAATCGAAGAGCACAAGCAAGAAGGTAAAACACGCAATCTGAAATTGCAAACGTGAATGACGCGAATATCAATAGAGGATTCAAGAACTCGGTTCCAAAGGACTAATCGACACAGTAGAGGAGATAAAAAACGGGGCCCCTGGATCACTGTAAAAGAATTTGTCACCACAGTTCCAATGAACGATTCAGTTTCTCAATGAAAAACTAAACTCTAAACAAAACCCAATTGTGTAGCGGCGGCGGCGGCTGTGTTTATAGTCTAAGACTCGACCTAGGGTTGGGGACGGCTAGGGGTTGGACGCCCATAACTTGGGCTTAAGACCCGACAAGATACATGGCCAAGTTGGCCCAAATAGGTGACGCAACACCTTGCCGTGGTCACACAGAATGATCCACGGACCTTCTGGAGCTGGGACCAGATCCAAAACGACGGCGTCGTCGTCCCCTTTCCAACGCATCCAAGAACGGCCCGTTTCGATGTGGTATGAGAAAGTTATGACCGAAACAGTGACGACGTGTCTGCTGAATCCGAGGGCGACGTGGCAGCTGAGTTGGGAACGAATTGCAACTTGGGGAAGACCATGGCGTCGGTGTGTCCAACGTGGCGATGTCCTCATCATCCTCCCCTTCTCGAATTGGAGTCGTCCTCGACTCCATCTTGGCGATGTCCTCATCATCCTCTCCTTCTAGAATTGGAGTCGTCCTCGACTCCATCCCATCATCAGCGAACTCCTACAAAAGGTTAGTGACAACAGGCAATGCACCAGACATAAAAGGTTGACAAAACATAGTATAACATGGTGCATCAGGATTATCACATAACTCAGCAGTAGCAGAAGTTGTAGCAAGAAAAGCACCTCCTTTTAACTTAATCCCATTATTTTTAGCAATGTCTGTTGGAGGTTTATTTTTAATCTCATTAGCATGTTTAATAATATCCGTAGGAGACAAAGACATCAATGTAATTTTCTTGTCCTTATGTATGATAGTGTATGTATTAGTTCTACCATGGTGTAAAGTATCATTATCAAATTCCCATGGGCGACCTAGCAAAATGGAACAAGCTTGCATAGGGACAACATCAAAATCAGCAGTATCATGATAAGAGCCTATGAAAAAGCTAATGCGTGCTGATTTGGTTACCTTAGTCTTACCACTAGTATTGAACCATTGAAGTTTATATGGATACGAATGTTGTCGTGTGGTCAAGCCAAGCTTGTCAACCAAATCTGAACTCACCAAGTTGTTGCAACTCCCGCTATCAATGAAAGTGAGAACACGACAACCCTGCACAATGAGATACATGTGGAACAAATTGTGGTGTTGGATCTTCATCTCTTCTTCATGTCCCACACGTGTACTCAACACACGCTGCACAAGAAGGCTAGGGTAGTCCGCGGCAGCAGCCACAGAGTCAATGGTGATGGCCTCCTTGTCTTGATCGCTCTCGGTGGGATCTGCATCAATGTTAGCAGCAAGGGCTAAATCATCTTCAACATCACTAGCACTTACATATCCATCCTCGGTAGCAATGAAAGCGCGATGACTGGGGCAATCCTTCATGACATGTCCCATGTCTTTGCATCGGTGGCAAATGATTTTAGAGCTGGACGAGGAGGAGCTAGTAGAAGCACCCGGAGTGGCACCTTTCTTCAGCTGTGGAAACTGCACATTAGACAATTTACTTACCCCGGAAGAAAATGGAGGTGTAGATGGCCGTGGTGCAACAGAAGCTTAGGCGTCTCCGGCTCGAACGTTGCTGAAAATTCCTCCCATTGTTAGACCTGAAAGGCTGGTGTTGTTTATGTCCCTGTACTTCTCGTTCGCCTTAATAGCAAGATGATACAATTGGGAAAAAATTGTGTCATTCTTTGTAATCAAATATGTTCTCAGATATCATGGTTTAAACCACCAAAAATCTCTAGCACTAGCATCATGATCATCTTCATTTATACCACAATGTGCTAAACCAATAAGCAATTCTTGATAGTATGCTTCTACTCCTTTATCACCTTGTTTTAAAGTTTGTAGTTTCAAACGTAAATCACGTTGGTAATAAGGAGGAACAAAATGAGATTTCATACGTTGCTTTAAAACATTCCAAGTTTGAGGCACAGCAGCAGCATTATTGGCATTGCAAAGATCACTCCACCAGAACAAAGCAAAATTAGTAAACTCACTAGTAGCAAGTCTAACTCTATGCTCAGCAGGAACATTATGAGAATCAAATTTTTGTTGAACAGCAAGCTCCCAATCTAAATATGCCTCTGGATCAACATTACCAGCAAAAGGAGGTAGACTAAATTTAATTTTAGCAAAAGGATCATTATTACCATGATTATTACCTTCCATACCGCGACGATTGAAGTTGAGGCGGCGACGGGCACCACCGTCAGCATACGCATCTTCATCACCAAAAGCATCCATATCTTCATCATCAGCACGATAAGGTGGAGGGCGTTGCTCAAAATTTGTTCAATGCGGGTGACCAGATTCTTCACGCTATGCGCGTCACTTCGGTCATAAGATTGCGTTGTTCACCATGAACGTTGTAAGCTCGCCCTTGACATGCACTCATTGAAGTCCGCTCGAGTTTCGCCATGGTTAGAAGATAGAAAAGACAACACCAAAGTATTATCCCTATTAACTAAAAGGAAAAAGTGGTGGTGGTGGTGATGGTGGTGAAAGTGGAATGCAAAATCACAAGCGGCTTACCACCGTCTTGTGCAGATTCTTACCAACGCCAAACAGAGCAAAACCAAAGTGGCGAAGCAATCTGTTGTTGAGCGTGGGTAATATGATTGCAAGATGAACTGTCTTGACAAAAAAATATGTGGAGCTATGGATAGGCACACAATATGACAAAGCAGGATTAGCAATTAACGAGTGCAGAGTAACGATTGTTCAATCCGAATCCAAAGTACAAATCACAGGTGCTGGCTAAGACGTGTCGAGACGTAGCGCAACAAGGTGAAAACAAAGGACGATCGAAAGAACTCACAGAACAAGCAAATAGCCCGGAATTCTCCCTTTTTCCCGAATTTTTTCCCGGATTTTTCTAAAAGGCACTAGTAGGAAACAAACTTTTTTTTTATTTTTTCACTACTTTTTATATACTTTTCTCTGAACAAGGGTCACAAAAGATGCAACCACAAAAATTGGCACCTACAACTGAGGTGGGATGTGGTCTACAGAAATTCAGCACGTTCTCTGAAAAGCGTGCAAAAACTTTGACAATTTTTATTTTATATTTTCCCGAATTTTTTTGGCAATTCTGATGAAACCAAACAGGGCGGAGCCGAGTTTGGGTCGGCTCCAAATGGTGTCAAGAAGCTGCTGTAAAAATTTCAGATTTTTCAGATAAACGAGTGAAAAGTTATGCATGTTTTACCGAAGGTATCTCAAGGTATGTTTTCCGGGAGGCACAACACGGCGGCGGCAGTTAGGGCAAAGCGTCCCTGAACTCTAACACCGATCACATGATCGTCACTGTGACTAACAGCAGTAGGTATTCGCCTGATGATGTAAGGAGGGCTACGATGCAGGCAAAATAAGAGCGGCTGGCAACCTATCTAGGGTTTGCGCGGCGGCGAGAAGTTACACAAGGCGGCTAGTGGGGCAAGTCGAGTAATGTGGTGGCTGCGACTTGTTGTTTGGGAACGGTGGATGGGATAGCGGCGGAAAACAAAAATCACAGTAACGGGCGATTGAACTACGACCACGAACACAATCCTAAACCAGCAACAAGACTCGACCACGGACACAAACTCAACAACACGAATCTGAAACGAAATTGCAAAGGCACAAAGGACGATAGGACAGCGAAAATTGAAATATTTTTGGGCTTTTTGTGGATTCTAGGTAATGAACAAATATGAATCTAAGACAAACGAGATTATACCTCGCGGGAAACCTGAAATATCTTATACCAATTGATGAGTACAGGCCCTATCTTCCGAGAGATAGCCGGTAAGTTCGATTTGTGGAGATCTCGACGTTGGCGATCCGGCTTCAAATCAGACGCGATTCGAACCCTGCAACCGTTACACCACTGCTCCGTTGGTTATCAACCAAGCACAACTTGATTGACCTCGCCAAGAAGGCTTTTCCTGCAAGCGAATCGAAGAGCACAAGCAAGAAGGTAAAACACGCAATCTGAAATTGCAAATATGAATGACGCGAATATCAATAGAGGATTCAAGAACTCGGTTCCAAAGGACTAATCGACACAGTGGAGGAGATCAAGAACGGGGCCCTGGATCACTGTAAAAGGATTTGTCACCACAGTTACAATGAACGATTCAGTTTCTCGATGGAAAACTAAACTCTAAACAAAACCCAATTGTGTAGCAGCGGCGGCGGATGTGTTTATAGTCTAAGACTCGACCTAGGGTTGGGGACGGCCAGGGGTTGGGCGCCACAACTTGGGCTTAAGGCCCGACAAGATACATGGCCAAGTTGTCCCAAATAGGTGACGCAGCACCTTGCCGTGGTCACACAAAATGATCCACGGACCTTCTGGAGCTGGGACCAGATCCAAAACGACGGCGTCGTCGTCCCCTTTCCAACGCATCCAAGAACGGTCCGTTTCGATGTGGTATGAGAAAGTTATGACCGAAACAGTGACGACGTGTCTGCTGAATCCGAGGACGACGTGGCAGCTGAGTTGGCAACGAATTGCAACTTGGGGAAGACCATGGCGTCGGTGCGTCCAGCGTGGCAATGTCCTCATCAGTTGCTAACTCCAAATATTTATCCATAATATTAAATTTTTATATAAGGGTTGCTGAGATCATATTTTGGCCGGAGAATGGACCTCTCTTCATCAAATGTTTGCATGGAGCATTAAATATAGGTAAAAAAATAACTAATTGCACTTAGATTGACCAAATTAAGTGTTATTATTATCGTAAACAATCTAACCATGGTGTTAGCAAATACGGCGGCACGTGAAACGCGCAACCCCAGCACGCCGCTAGTTGCTAGTACATGTTGACATTGCCGCCGACGCCGAGAGCATCGATGCAAGCCAATAGGTCATCGATCACAAGCAAGAAAGCATCTCCTCAGTGGTGTCTGCGTGCGTCCCCGGTGGCATGCCTGAGCCCTGAGCTCGCCGTCATGTCGGTGTCGACTGCGCAGGGCCGGCTGCTTGAGGGCGACGAGGCCACGGCTGCGTCGCCGCCGCCCCATGCCCGGGCGCCGCCGTCGTCGCGGTACAAGGGCGTGGTGCCGCAGCCCAACGGGCGGTGGGGCGCGCAGATCTACGAGCGCCACGCGCGCGTCTGGCTCGGCACGTTCGCGGACGAGGCGGCAGCCGCGCGCGCCTACGACGTGGCCGCGCTCCGCTTCCGCGGCCGCGGCGCCGCCGCCAACTTCCCGGGCCCCGCCGACGCGGCCGAGATGGCGTTCCTCGCCGCGCGGCCCAAGGCCGAGGTCGTCGACATGCTACGGAAGCACACCTACGACGACGAGCTCCGGCAGGAGCTGCGGTCCGGCGGCAGCGGCGGTGACCGCTCCTCCCTGGGTCTGGTGGTACTCCCCCGGGTGGCGCTGTTCGAGAAGGCGGTGACGCCGAGCGACGTCGGCCGGCTCAACCGGCTGGTGGTGCCGAAGCTCCACGCCGAGAAGCACTTCCCGCCGCTCCAGGAGGGCGCCGCCGCCGACGCGGCTCCCGTGCTGCTCGCCTTCGAGGACGTCGGCGTCGGCGACGGGAAGGTGTGGCGGTTCCGGTACTCGTACTGGACCAGCAGCCAGAGCTACGTGCTCAGCCGGGGCTGGAGCCGCTTCGTCAGGGAGAAGGGCCTTGCCGCCGGTGACACCGTCGCGTTCTCGCAGGCGCGATCACCTACGGCGAGACTATGGATGTGAAGCGGCGGATGCTCATCGAGTGCAGGAAGCAGAAGAGGAGAGACGGCGGCTGCAGCGGCAACGACGGCGGTGATTGCCCTGACGGCGGCGAGCGCGTCGTGAGGCTGTTCGGCGCCGCTGCGATTGGAGCTTCATGATAAAAAATAAGGTGCTCCAAATTGGGGCGTCGATCATGTTTTGTTTTGACCATGCAAGACAATATATATGATTATATCTCACGACTTCATTCAGTACAAGCTTACATAGTTAGCTAACAAAATAATAATGCATGTACTAGACACTAGATAGACAAGCCCCCTTCTCTGAATTTCTCAAGTACACGTGCCTTTTTTTCCTTCTGCAGAAAATGCTATGATTATGTCTTCTAAATCTTTTGAAATGTAGTACTAACGGCCTATTTGGCAGAGCTCAGAGCAGCTCCGAGGCCGATTCCAAGAGGATCTTTGTCAAATGTATACGGTGATTTATCATGAAGCAATTATATCTAAAATGAAAGATTAGCTCTCTCATTCATTTTCTGCACATAGTCACTTTTTAATCATTATCCTTGAGAATCACTTTCAGCTAAGTAATCACCTCCTTTGAGAATCAAAAGCAGAAAAGTTCTACTGAAACAGGACCCTAATATGGTATAGTTACAGAATCGGTTGAGCCCCACAATATTATTTCTACTAAATGTCCCGAATTGAAATCGTTATCCCAAAATGCGATTGTAATTCCAATATAGATAGATCTACCTATTTAAATAGTGTGTTGTAATTCCCACCGAGCAACCTCTCAGTCACGCATAGCAAGTCAGGCAATTTTTCTTGTGAAAATAAATGCGTGTGCATTTTCTAGAATTCAAAGCTAGGACCGCTTCTCTCGCTTAAGCCATCTTTACCATCCCACCATTAAGTTGTTTTTTGATATCATTATGAGAACCATTTCTTTTGAATGTTCGGTGATAATGGTTTTCAGTGGTGGATCACATAAGCGACTGCATCTGACAATGCATCCATTTCCGATGGCGGTCGGTCTTCTGAAGCGATTGCCTGCGAAAATGCCCATTTTTAGTAGCAGTTACTTATGTCAACCACGGCTAGAAATAGGGATATTTTCATGGGTGATTTTGGCTGATTTAATAGTGTTCTGTAAGAGAGAATAAGCTGAAGTATAACTGATAAGCTGCCTGATAAGTTCAAGTGAACATGACTAAGTTCACTGGTAGAGAACAGAGCTTTACTCCCGGTGGAGAACCCCCTCTAATCCCGGTTCCCCACCCGGGAGCAAGCATCCGGGACTAAAGGGAGTCCTTTAGTCCCGGGTTAGGAACCGAGACTAAAGGAGAACATTTAGTCCCAGTGGGTAACACCAACCGGGACTAAAGGTGCCTCCTGACATGCCACGATGGCCGGCACCTTTAGTCCCGGTTGGTAATACGAACCGAGACTAAAGTTTTTTTTTTCTTTTTTTTTTCTTTTCATTTTTTTGTTTTCTTTTCAAAATAGGTTTTCGAAGTCGTATTGTACACTGCTAATTATACATTTATACGCGCGTATAGTATGTTTCGGTTCAAGCACAATGAACGTATTAAATCACACAATTCAAGCATAAATATATATATATATATATATATATATAATTATACATTTATATATGTATATATATATATATATGTATGTATATATATATATATATGCATGCATGCATCATATATATATTTACATGCATGCATGCATATGTGTATTTTACATTATATTATTTCATGTGCATATATTACAAAAGATTGCATTACAGTTGTTGTGATATAATAAGTTTCCTCTCATCCTCTAGCTTGGCTTCCATGGTAGTGTTGGGTCGAAGTAGAACTCGCCCTTGGAATCGATGACCTGCTCATTAAAAAATCCGGCTATAGACTCTTGAATTGCTTTGATTTGGTCTTGCCGTATGACCTTTTCCTCCAACCATCGAGCCTACATGTTTGAATTAAAGAAAAATAAATTAATATAAGTACATATATATATAAAGACATAGTAACACAATCAATAATAATAATTAAATGAATATATAGTGTATTTTTAACGTACTTTGAGTCTCTCTGTAGGAGTTCTTTGGGAGACCACCTTGATAAACTTGCAAACATAGTAACCACAGTAGTTGTTCCCCTGTTCCTGCCTCAGACACCACTTTACGAGAAAAAGATTTGTCATCCAATCTGGTGATCCGGTGAAAGCTATATGTTTAATTAATAAAGATGATGCAATTTAGGGGACTTACTTTCAAAGGGATTATATTCAGTGGCGCTTTGCATTTTCCCATGTGTTGCTTCTCAATAAAGGTTTTCCAAACACTGCCCAATAAAAAATTTGCCACGTCATCAGATATAGTTAATCATCATGTTTGTGTGTATATATAGTTGCTAGAGATACCAAAATTACCTCTGGATAATATCTATCATATCTTGGTAGTCTTGTTATGATTTTCTCATCGAGTCATAGATTATCAAGTGACTTTTCACCAGATCGATGTCCATCAATATCTAGTGATTGCTGCATGTGTTTATAGGATATAACGCATAACACTCATTAATTAACTAGAATCAACATATGAGCCATTAAGGATGATTGACATTATTAACACTCACTTAAAGTTGTAGGGAAAGAGTATATCCTTCTTGTGGCGTTGGTTCACTAAGAAGTTCATGAGGTTACTCTCTGACTCAGACTTCCAATTAGGCTTTGAAGTAACTGGGTCTTTGAATACTATATGGGGATCAACAAAACCAATTTCATTGCGGCCTTCCTTTCTGAGCTCTGTCATTGTAAATCTGCATATATATAATACTTGTTAGGATAATTTATATGCATATACACACATATGATGAGTTTAATAATAGATCGAAAGAATTATTACTTACAGGCAATAGCAGCTAATGATAACTTTGTCCAAAGAGGTCAGGTGGCATAGTTGATGAAATTCTGCAAAGTCAACATACATAACATCATCGCCATGGAACCAATGTTCGTCTCTAATTCTGACACCAACGCAGAAGTCTCCACCGGTAGACGCCTGCATGTACCACTTGTTTAGCAGGTACATTTGCGTCCTCAGATCACATATGACTTGAGGGTTGTATAGACTCTGTCCTAGTACAAATTTTTTCTTCCAAATATCAACCTTCGCCGCACTCTCAATGTTTCCATCACCAAACATCTGGTAAAGGTCGAGACCAGTCTCTTCAATAAATTCACCAAGGTGATCCAAATCGACATCCGGAGGTATGTTTGCCTGATGCATTAATCCTAAATTCGAACCATATTCATTACCAACAACTAGCGGGGGGACTGATTGGTGCAATTGTTGTCCGAGTTGTGCAACTCCTTTCCCTGCCCGCTTCTTTTTTTGTGCCTTCTCAATTGACTTGGTGAGAGTGCGGTCATAGTCCGTTAACGTTGATTTGGACGGCTTACGAGATTCCCGCTGTTGTTGCTGGTAAGAAGCCACCTTTTTTCTTAGAATATCTGGAGCTACGAAGAAGTACGATTTCTTCGGGTTTCTCCTTGCTTCTTGACCCTTTTTAAGTTTGTCATAGAATCTGGACATATCTTTTTTATATGCATCAGTTACTTCTTCCTTCTCTTCAGATACTATTTTGGGAATAGCCCTTGGTTTTACGGTGGCTTTCTTTGCCGGCGGGGACTGGTTCTTCGTTTGTGGGGCTGGCCTCTTGCTAGTACTTGGCTTCTTGGTAGGCGGGGGCGGGGGAGGCGTTGGAGACCTCCTTGGAGGTGGTGGCAGCGGCGTTGGAGACCTCCTTGGAGATGGTGTGGATGCAGCCTCGCCTTCCAACACAATGTCATCGTACAAAGCAATATGATGATCTGGCGATTGAACAATTGGATTTAGGTTGGGGGAGGATCTGCTACAAAAAAAGGAATGACATATTATTATGAGCAGATTGTTAATTATTTAAGCCAATATAAATTAATGATGTAGTGTTTTCATCCGCACCTATGGTGAGGTAGTTCAGAAGGAGGTGGAGCCGACATCCCGGGAATGATGATGTAGCGCTTGCGCCATAGAATGAATGTCTTCTCTGCTTCTCCTAGAGTCTTCTCGTCATCACCTCCAGGAATGTCAAGAGGCAAATCACTAAAACCTTTTTCAGCTTTATCTACTGAGATGGTAGCATATCCTTCTTGGATTATATTCCCATGAATCCTTGGTGTCTTGGTTCGGTCGATAGGATTAACAAGACCGATAGCCACCTTGATTGTGGAATTCCCCTTCGGAATGTGTAGCTCACACGATGTACAAGGTTGAGTGACATCATCCACAGGGAAGCGCAGTCCTGTGTCCCCTTGATTTGGTATCTCCGTGGAAGCGCAGCTGCTTTTCAACTGAACATATTGGCTAATGTTGATTCCTGGCTCTGATGCCTGCTTGCTTGCACTCACTACTATTTGCACTTGCCTTCTGATTTCCTCCTGCATTCTCGCTTCAAGTTTTTTTCCCGCTCCTGTGCTTCACGCACCGCTTCCTCCAACCTCTGGAGCCGCTGTGCCTCTTCTTCCTTCTTTCTCTGGCGGCTTCTGTAGGAAGGTCTGTCCTGAGGGAATCCATGCTCCCACGAGACACTTCCTTTGCCTCTAGTTCGGCCACCATGTTCAATAGTCCCGATGGCGTATGTCAGCTCATCCTTCTCTTTGTTGGGCCTAAACGCACCACTAGCAGTAGCTCTCTGAGCATAAAACAATCTTTCTGCTGCTTCTTGCAGTCTTGCACCATAAACGCACTTCCCTGTCTCCTGGTCCAGTGTTCCCCCATGAACGAAAAACCAATTCTTTGCACGCTCTCCCCACTCGAGTGATTCTAGTGTGATACCCTTGGCAAGAAGGTCTGCTTCCATTTTGTTCCACTTCTTAATGGCAGTCGGGTAGCCACCTGATCCCAAGTTATGATGGTATGTCTTCTGTTGGGCATTATGTTGGTTCTTTATCACCCGACTCACACCCTCT